GTGCCAAGTACAAGGCCAACCGCGACAAGTGCGAATTTGTCCGGCAAGAGCTGGAATACTTGGGCCATTTTGTCACACCGGAGGGCATCAGTCCGATATCGGACAAGATTCAGGCCGTCCAAGAGTGGCCGGAGCCTTGGAACGTCACGGATGTCCGCTCGTTCCTCGGTCTTACCGGCTACTATCAGCGCTTCATCAAAGGCTACTCCAAGATCGCGGCCCACTTGAACAAGCTTCAGTGCGAGGATCGGCCGTTTGACTTTGGAGAGGAGGCGCGGGGATCATTCCTCGCTCTCAAAGCCGTGCTATTGTCTGCGGAGATCTTGCGGATATACGACCCGCTCGCGCCTACACGTGTCACTACGGATGCGTCAAGCTATGGCATTGGTGCAGTCCTCAAGCAACATGATGGTGTGGACTGGCACCCGGCCGAGTACTTCAGCAAGAAAGTGCCACTCGTGCATTCCATTGACGATGCACGCAAGAAGGAGCTCCTCGCCTTCGTCCACGCGCTCAAGCGGTGGCGGCACTTCCTCCTTGGTCGAAGCCAATTTTGCTGGGTGACGGACAACAATCCGTTGGTCTTCTACAAGACCCAAGACATCGTCAACAGCACCATCGCTCGATGGATGGCTTTCATCGACCAGTTCGACTTCTTTCCCGATCACATTCCCGGGAAGTCGAACCGTTTTGCATATGCTCTTTCACGGCGTCCGGATCATTGTACCGCGGTCTACTCAACCTTCGAGATCGATGACGACCTGCGGAACACTTTCAGCCGCGGCTACCAAGCCAACCCCGAGTTTCGCGACAAGTACGCGAATTGCTCCTCTCCTACTCCGGCTCCTTCTCACTACCGGATCCAAGAGGGGTACTTGCTTGTCCACACGCGGGGGAAGGACCTTCTTTGCGTACCAAGTGATCCTCAATTGCGTACACGGCTTCTTGGCGAGTTCCACGATGCTCCCTCCACCGGACACTTTGGAGTCAATCGCACGATTGGCCGACTTCGCCAGCGATTTCGGTGGTCTGGCCTTCTTGGCGACGTCACGCGCTATTGCGAGTCATGCGAGGTTTGCCGACGCTGCAAATCCCGCAACCATCGTCCGTACGGCGAGTTACGACCATTGCCAGTCTCGTTGAGGCGAAGGGAAGCGATTGCCATGGACATTACCGGCCCGTTCCCCAAGCACAAGACCGGAGTGGATGGGATTCTTACGGTGGTTGACCGACTCACCAAGTTCGCCATGTTTTTACCTTGTTGCTATCATGCGAAGGCACCGGAGTTGGCCGAGGTTCTTTACGCCGGTTGGATTCGAACCAAGGGTTACCCCAAGGCGATCGTCTGCGACCGCGACACTCGGTTTATGTCCGATTTTTGGTTGGCGCTCATCAAGCGATGGGGCTCATCTCTCAAGCCCTGTTCAGCTCGCCACCCTCAGACCGATGGCCAGACGGAGAGGGCGCATCAGACCGCACAGGTTCTTCTTCGCACTCTCATCCGCCCTGACCAGAAAGACTGGGTTGAGCGACTGCCGGACGTCGAGTTGGCCTACAACTCTTCCATCCACCCGGCTATTGGGATATCACCCTTCGAGTTCGAGCGCGGCTCGCCGGTCACGTCACTATTACTCCACACACGGCCGAGAGCGATGACCATCTTCTTTTCTTGCGTCGGATGCAAGAGCTTCTTGTCAAGGCACGCGACCACATGGCTAAGACGCAACAGCGCATGAGCCAGCAGGCCAATCGCCAGCGTCTTCCTTGTCCATTCCGCGTCGGTGACCTAGTGTGGGTTTCCGCAGCGGAATTCAGCCTTGAACAAGACATCTCTCGCAAGCTCCTTCCGAAATGGATGGGGCCTTGGCCGATCGTAGCGCCCGCTGGGGACGCACCCGAAGGACCTTCCTTCACGATTCAGCTGCCCGGCCACTTGCCCGTCTACCCAGTCTTTCATTGCTCCAAATTGGCTCTCTACACGCCAGCGGAACATGACGATTTTCCCAGGAGACGTACGCAAGACCCACCTTCTATGGATGGTTTTCAGGAGGTCAGCGACATCATCTCCCAGCGACGCTACGGCAACAAGCCAACTGAGTATTTGGTGCATTTTGCATACTGCACCCACCGAGCTGACCGTTGGTTAACCCGTGCGGAACTTCAAGCAACAGCTCTAGACGTTCTCGCACGCTATGAACACAAGATGCAAGGCAAGCCGGTTTCTTCGGTTCCACGCCGCGCCCGCGTCCAGGTTCCACCTTCAGATCATCGGCTTCGCCCTCGCCCCGGCTTGACTTCATAAGGAGGGGGGGGTGTTACATGTTGCGCATGCACACGCAGGCCATTTTCCAGGCCCTGCG